GCATCTGTGAAGGAGAAAACAGAGTTAACATTTCGGGTCCAGTGACCTTTCCTCAGAACTGATGGTGGCTGGGAAAACATCAGTTTATATCATACCATCACAGATGCTGCCAGACCTGCTGAGCTTTTCCAGCAACTTTGTTTTTGTTGCCACCAATTTGTGTGATCTACAAACTTACTAAATACTACATTCACCTCCAATTCGTTAATGTACATAACAAACGGGAAGGGTCCCAGCACTGATCCCTGTGGTACACCATTGGTCGCAGGCTTCCAATCAGAAAAATGTCCATCACCCTTTGTCTCTTGTTTGTAAGCTAGTTTTAGATTCAGGTTGCCAACTTATCTTGGATTCCACAGGCTCTTGCCTTTTGGACCAGTCACCTTTTCAAAAGAGCCAATTAAATGAGACAGGATCACCCTGTAACAAATCTATACTATCACTGATCAATCCTTGCCTAGCCAAGTATTGACTAACCATGTGCTTCGGAATTCTTTCTAATAATTTCCCTACCACTGATGCCAGACTAACTGGTCTATAATTACCTGGCCCATCCCTGCTGCGCTTCTTGAATAAGGAATCTACATTACCTATCCTCCAGTAATCTTTGCCTGTGGCCAGCGAAGTATTAAATATCTCCTCCAGGGCCCTAGCAATCTCCTCTCTTACCTCCCATAGCAGCCTGTACTACATCTCATAAGGCCCTGGGGAGTTATGCACCTTTATCTCTGCTAAAGCATCTAATAACTGCAGGGGGCAAATCAAGAAAGTAATTGGGAGAACAAAGAGGGGGCTTGGAAAAAAAATCTGTCAAGCAAGATTAGGAAGAATCAGGGGAAGAGAATAACCAGGAAAAGATTAGGATCCAGTCGGGACCAAAGCGGAAATGTGTGCATGAAGCCAGAGGACAGAGCACTGCAGCCTCACAAGCGCCAGGGACCTGGGTTCAATTCCAGCCTCGGGCGACTGTCTGTGTGGAGTTTGCACATTCTCCCCGTGTCTGTGTGGGTTTCCTCCCACAGTCCAAAGATGTGCAGGTTAGGTGGATTGGCCATGCTAAATTGCCCATGATGTGCAGGCTGGGTGATTAGCCATGGGAAGTGCAGGATTACAAGGATGCGGTAGAGAGGTGGGTCTGGGTGGGATGCTCTTTAGAGGAATTGGTGTGGACTCTATGGGCTGAATGGCCTGCCTGCACACTATAGGGATTCTATAATTGTATGAACTCCTTATTAGTCTGAACACGCTCTTGAACCTTACCAGTCCAACTGAAATCTCCAGATGCAAAGCCTCTCTCCTCTGTGAATACAGATGAGAAATATTCATTATAGGTGTGAACACGTTCTCTGGTTCCACGCACAGATTGCCCCTTTAGTCTCTAATAGGCTGCACTCTCTCCCTAATAATCCTCTCAAACATAGTATACTTATAAAATGTCTTTGGGTTTTCCTTGTTTGCATTTCTAAGTTCTTTTTTAAGTACTGTCCTACACTCCATACTTCTGAAGAGCCTCCTCTGTATTTAATGCTCTGTACCAAACGTACGTTTCCTTCAGTTTCTTCACCAAACTCTGTGTTGCTAGACATTCAGGGTCCCTGATCTTGCTGCCTTTGCCCTTCACTCTTTGAGGGACAGCTGGCCCTGAACTCTCACAACACTACTTTTAAAAGAGTCCCACTTTCCAATTGTACTCTTGCCTACAAGTCGCTGCTCCCAGTCTATGTTTGCCAGATCCTGCCTAATGATATTGAAATTGGCCTTCTCCCAATTTAGACTTGTGCACTATCCATATCCCATTCCATAATGACTTTGAAACTTCCAAAGTTAAGGTGTTCTTTTTACCTTTGGAATTCTCTCCCAGAGGTCTGTGGAAGTTCAGGCTTGGAGTATGTTTAAGGTAGAGGTTGATTGCTAGATTTCTGATTACAAATGGCATAGAGGGATAGGGGGACAGTATTAGAATCATAGAAACCCTACAGTGTGGAAGCAGGCTACACTGTCTTTCTCTGCCTCTGTTGCTCTTTCTGTGCATCTCATGCCCTTTGAAATTCTCTCTCTCGCTCTCTTCAGATTTGTCTCTGCGCCTGTCTCTCCCGCCTCCCCGCCTCTGCGTCTCTCTCTCTCCCCCTCCCTGCCCCTGCGTGTCTCTCTCTCAGCATTACCCCCCACACGTCATCCCCTCTTTTTCTCTCTCTCTCTTCTATCTCTCTGCATCCAAACTCTCTCTCTGCGTTCCCTCCCCCTCTCTCCGCGTTCCCTCCCTCTCTCTGCGTCTGTCTCCTGCGCCTTCTCCTCTCTCCATCTCTTTGCGTCTTCTCTCTCTGTATTTCTTTGTCTTCATGCGTTGCTCTCTCTCTGGCTTTTTCTTTGTCCTTTTCTGTCTCACTTGCTCTGTTTTGTGTCTTCTGTTTCTGCATTTCTCTCTGTCTCAGAATTCCTCTCTCTCTGCCTCTCCTCTTCCACTGCGAGTCTCTGCATCCCTCTGTTTTTGTGTATCTTTCTGTGTCGCATTAATTTGTTGTGGATCTCTTGCTCTCACTGCATTCTCCCTAGTTCTCTGTGCATTTCTCAGCCTCTCACTGTGTCTCACCCTGAATCTCTTCTCTGTTTCTATCTGACATTTTCCATCCTTTCACTGTCAGCCATATTGGACTTGTGATGTTAACTCTGTTTTTCATTCTACAGATACTTCCAGTGCTTTTTGTTTTTATGTCTGATTTCCAGCAGTATTTTGCTTTTATTGTAGTACTTTATCAATGTTGCTTTTCATTTATTTATTGCAGTCTTGAAATCTTCCAGTCATTCACTGGAAATTCAACTCTGAGTTATCGGTGTTTCTGGGGATTGTCGAGGAAGTGCAGCACAAGTTTTTCACAGTGATTGCTGGGGCAGGATTGACTGATGACGAGAGGTTGTGGAGGCTGGGTTTATATTCTCCAGCACTTAGGAAACTGACAGGTGACCTCACTGAAGCCGACAAAGTTCTTGTGATAGGATGTGTGCCGGACTGTAACGAGGGGAATAAGAGGCAAGGTCTGAAATTAGGAAAATGTCCTTACTCAGCATGTGGTGAATCTTTCACATTGTCTTCTGCAGATGGCTGTGAAAGTACAATCATTTGAATATATTCAAGAACAAAATCTCTAGAATTCTGGGAATTAATGACATCAAGGTTGTGGGGATAACACAGGAAAGTGGCATTGAGCTGAATCTCGAATGGCGCAGCAGGGATTCAAGGATTCAATGGCTGGCTCCAACTCCTGTGGTTTTTCTTACAGGGGGATACAAACCAACATTATACAGTCTCTCATCAAAACCTAACCATTCCAATCTTAGCAACATTCTCGTGACTCATGCGGTACTGCATAGTTTCCAAAACGCCTATAAGTTACAGCAACCAAAATTGTGCACCAGTGGTGATTTCACCGGGGCTTTGTACAACTACAGCAGAGCTTCCTTCCTTCTTCCAATAGCCTGTAATTTGTACCTACACCTTTTAGTATGTGGACAGTTTGTTCACTCAGACAAAGTCTCATTAGTTTTGCCCTTGGATGCAGTCTTTTGCTTGATGTGCGACATGATATCGCCCGCCATGTGACCTTCGAAACACCGCACCTAATTTCATGGTCTTTAAGAACAGAGAGAAATCCCATCATAATATATTCTGCGGACAAATACTCAAAATGATGATCCTGTATGCACTTGAGGAATGGTTGATATTAGGTAAAATTTAAACGTTTTGGCCAAAGAAATCGTTCATTTTTCACATATTGTGTGTTTATGTTGCCTGTGTCTTTCAGTCAAAGAATTCAAATTCTTTATGTTAATCACACACACACCCTCATGGAAACTCACTTACTGATAGAGCATACTGTTAAAGGCAGCTGTTCAGTTCCTTGTTGTAATGTATTGTCCTCACACTGTGTTTCTCTAACAGTCCCACCCAGCAGTATGGCAGTATGATAGCAAGAAGGCCTGCCAGATACCCAGCCCCACTCAAACCTGATAATGACATAAATCCTATTTTCTAGCTGGTCATTTTCACCGCAGTTTAAATGTGAGTGGCATTTTGCAGGCTATCTGTTTGTGTTTGCTCCCGTTACCTGGACCAAAAATTTCAATGAGCCAATCATGTGAAATCTCAAGACGTTAGCGAACAAAGCTGCATCTGTGCAACTTGAAGTGAATAGATCCACTTTTGTGTCAGTTTAGGTGATGCTTTCCTTTTCTGTTTCAGTGGAAAGCTGGTTTCTCCAAAATGGAAGCAATTCAAAGGTTTGACACTTCTATGGAAGGACAAAATCCGTCTGAACAATGCTATCTGGCGAGCATGGTTTACACAGTGTAAGTTTTTAGTAATCATTCTTCACTGTACTTTTTCTCCAGTCCTTCCTTCCTCCATTCCAGCTCTTTATAAGAAAGTTTTTGGGATGTACCTGGGCATCATTCTTTTCCTCTGAATCATTTAGATTGGAAATAATGGGTCAAATCTTCCAGTTTCCAGATCACTGCAGACTGGGACATACAACAGAAGATGATCTCTGGCACCCCATGTGGGAACAGCCTAGGAAGTCTCAACTTCCGATGGCCAATTTCCCCTCTCCCTGGGGCCCTACACAAATGTCTTTGACTCTGAGTTAGAATCAGAGATTTCAGACAATAATTATCTGGGTAGTTATAGAAACATTATATGGATTAAAACCCCATGTGGTATTTGGGTAACTTCCTAACTAGCACATTGACTGGCCCCTTTACTGCTCACCAACCCTCCAACACAGTCTGCCTACTACATGACTACACCAACCCACTGTTGCCCACCTCAGTCATTCACTTAGCCCTTTCCATGCACAAGTTGTTCTTTTGATATCGGGTTTTGTTGAGATTTAATTGGAGGGTACTTTTCGTTTTCAGGGGCTCCTTTCTCATTCTCAGTAACTCGTTTACTCGATGATGCAGTTATATATTAACAAAACCTCCTGCATTTGCACTGACCTATTCAGAAGTTGGATACACACGAACAGAATTAGAATAATTAGTCAATGTCTTTAATAACTATCAATGGTCAATTTAACTTATAAACCCACAACCACACAAGGTAAGTCATAATTTCCTTGATAATACATTACTTACATTGCACATGACAACAGGCTTAAGTTAACAACTGTTGTTTTCTCAGTATAGCTTCTAAGCTTCTATGGACAGAAAATCATCGCCCTAAATGTACTTTCTGCAGGCTGGTGAGCTCATAGCTAAAATGATTTCTTTACGTAAAGACAAAGCTGGAACATTTTAACCAGGCAGTTTTTTTTTTATTTCTTTGATCTCAGTCTTAAATTTAAATTTTAAAATTCACCAAGTGTTCATTAGAATGGCATCCACGACATTGTCTCCATGTTGTAGCTCTTCAACTTGTTCAGCCTTAAGCTGAAGACTCCACATTCATTTCTCAGTGATTTTTAAAATTTCCTGCTCCTAGTTATAGAGTCACACAGCCATGGAAACACACCCCTCGATCCAATGCCGACCCCACGTTTCCCAAACCAAACTAGTCCCATTTATCTGTATTTGGCACACATCCCTGTAAACCTTTCCTATTAATGTACCTATCCAAATGTCGTTTAAATGTTGTAACTGCACAATTGTCTACGACTCCCTGTGGCAGTTCATACAGCTTTGTTAGGTTTAAAACTGTTTCTCTCTTGCATGCGGCCTCCCATTTCCACTGCCCCACTTACAGTGTCCTTCTGAGTACATGCCTCTTTCAGATGTTTCCTCAACCCCACCCCTCTTTCAGCTTCTTTCTCCCCCCAGCCCCTTCTTGCAACTTTTTTCTCTCCTACTCCACCCCCCCCACCACTTCTTGTAACCTACTCCTCTACACCTGTTTTTAAAAGACAGCCAGAACTTTGAAAGGAAATTGATAAATCAGTGCACAAACTAGTCAGTGGATTTCAGTGCAGAGAAGAATGAGATTGTGCACCTTCGATTTAAGTCGAATTAATTAGAATATCTTCTAAATATTGAGTATGTTAAAAACAGGAGCAGGCCATTCAGTCCCTCCTTTTCCATTGTTGGTTCAGGAGCTCTTAATACCTTTTAAAGACCTACCACATCAGTTTTAACACTGTCAGAGAAGGATTTTTCTGCAGCACAGATTCACCAGAATGACACCAGAATTTAAAGGGTTGAGTTGCAAAGAAAAGGCTTGTGAGCAGGTAAGCTATTTGCATTTTTTTTTCCTCATCTCTGTTATCTTTCGGGGTGGTCACCCAGACGCCAAATCCTCTGGAAGCGGGTCGGAAGGCAAAGCCGGAGTCTGTTTGAGTATGTAACAGAATAAACTTACTGGTGCAGCGAACACTGCGAAACTAAACAAAACTAATTAATTTTAAATAATTAACTAAGTAGAGATGTGTTGCAGTTGTATGATGTGGGATCTAGCTGATCCCATTGAGAACGGCAGTGACCACATCTGCAGCAAGTGTTGGCTGCTTGAGGAGCTCTGGCTCAAAATCGATGAGCTGGAATCTGGAATCTGAACTCCAAACACTGTGGCAAATCCGGGAGGGGGAGAAATACCTGGATGCTGTGTTCCAGGAGGTAGTAACACCTGGTAGATTAACTAATGTTAATTCGGTCGGCGGGCAGGGACAGCAGTGTGTGACTGCGAGTGAGGCAGGTAGAGGGACCCTGCAGACAGGAACACAGGAGCCGCAGCCCTTGACATTGTCCCACAGGTATGAAGTACTTGCTCCCTGCATGGATGAGGAACAGGGCTGCAGGGAGGATGAGTCAACTGACCATGGCACCATAGTCCAGGAGGCCATTCAAGAGAGGGGAGCAAAAAGACAGATTGTAGTTGTAGGGGATTCCATCATCAGGAGGATAGACAGTATCCTTTGCGAGCAGGATAGAGAATCCCGCATAGTGCGTTGCCTGCCCGGTGCCAGGGCGCGAGACATCTCTGATCGGCTTGAGAGGATACTAGAGAGGGAGGGGGAGGATCCAGTTGTTGTGGTCCACGTAGGTACCAACAACATAGGCAGGACTAGGAATAAAGACCTGTTTTGGGATTATGAAAAGCTAGGAACAAAATTAAAAAACAGGTCTTCAAGGATCATAATCTCTGGATTGCTGCCCGAGCCACGTGCAAATTGACATAGGGAGGCGAGGATCAGGGAAGTAAACACGTGGCTAAAAGAGTGGTGTGGGAAAGAGGGTTTCCTTTTCATGGGGCACTGGCATCAGTTCTGGGACAGGAGGGATCTATACCGCTGGGATGGACTCCACCTGAACAGGGCCGGGTCCAATGTTCTGACGAAAAGGGTAAATAGGGTGGTTAATAGGACTTTAAACTAGTAAGTAGGGGGAAGGGAGGAGTGAGCGTTGAGGGAGAATAACAATTAATGTAAGGCAAAGCAGCAGGTTAGCAGGTGACGAGGAAAATTAGGAAAAAAGTTCAAGGGAAGGAGAACTCAAGAGCTGTTAGTAATGGAGGTGATAGGACCCAAAAAGAAGATGCAAAAACTGGCATAAGGGCACTTTATCTGAATGCTCGGAGCATTCAAAACAAGGTGGATGAGTTGACGGCGCAAATCATGGCAAATGGGTATGATTTAGTGGCCGTTACAGAGACATGGTTGCAGGATGGTCATGACTGGGAGTTAAATATCCAGGGGTATCAAACTGTTCGGAAGGACAGACAGGAAGGTAAGGGAGGTGGTGTCGCTCTGATTTTTAAGGATGATATCAGGGCGGTAGTGAGAGATGATATAGGTTCTACTAAACAAAAGGTTGAATCCATTTGGGTGGAAATTAGGAATAGCAGGGAGAAGAAGTCACTGATAGGTGTGGTCTATAGGCCACCAAATAATGACATCGTGGTGGGGCAGGCAATAAACATAGAAATAGCTAATGCATGTAAAAACGGTACAGCAATTATCATGGGGATTTTAATCTACATATCGATTGGTCAAACCAGGTCGGTCATGGCAGCCTTGAGGAGGGGTTCATAGAATGCATCCACGATAATTTCCTTAAACAATATGTAATGGAACCTACAAGGGAGTAAGCTATCCTAGATCTAGTCCTGTGTAATGAGACAGGAATAATTAATGATCTCACAGTTAGGGATCCTCTCGGAAGGAGCGATCACAGTATGGTCGAATTTAAAATACAGATGGAGCGTGAGAAGGTTAAATCCAGTACCTATGTCCTGTGCTTAAACAAAGGAGACTATGAAGGAATGAGGGAGGAGTTAGCTAAGGTAGAATGGGAGCAAAAACTTTATGGTGGGTCAATTGAGGAACAGTGGAGGACTTTCAAAACGATTTTTCACAGTGCTGAGCAGAAGTGTATTCCAGTGATAAGGAAGAACTGTAGGAAAAGAGAGAGCCAGCCATGGATGTCTAAGGAAATAAAGGAAAGTGTCAGATTGGAAAAAAAAACACATAGAAAAAAGCAAACAGTAGTGGGAAACTAGTAGACTGGGAAATCTTTAAAGGCTAACAGAAAGCCACAAAAAAAGTTATGAAGAAAAGTAAGATAGATTATGAGAGTAAACTTGCTCAGAATATAAAAACAGGCAGCAAAAGTTTCTATAAATATGTAAATCATAAAAGAGTGGCGAAGGTAAACATTGGTCCTTTAGAGGATGAGAAGGCCAATTTAAAAACTGGGAATGAGGAAATAGCCGAGACATTAGACAGTTATTTCGTGTTGGTCTTCACAGTGGAAGACACAAATAACATGCTGAAAACTAATGGCAAGAAGGTTATAGCAGGTGAGGACCTAGAAACTATCATTATCACTAAGGAGGCAGTGCTGGGCCAGCTAATGGGGCTAAAGGTAGACAAGTCTCCTGGCCCTGATGAAATGCATCTCAGGGTACTAAAAGAGGTGATGGGGGAAATAGCAAATGCACTAGTAATTATTTACCAAAATTCACTGGACTCTGCGGTGGTTCCCGCAGATTGGAAAACAGCCAATGTGACGCCACTGTTTAAAAAAGGAAGTAGACAAAAAGCAGGTAACTATACGCCAGTTAGCTTAACTTCAGTAGTGGGGAAAATGCTCGAATCTATCATTAAGGAAGAAATAGCAAGACATCTGGATATAAATTGTCCCATTGGGAACACCCAGCATGGGTTCATGAAAGGTAGGTCATGTTTAACTAATTTGGTGGAATTCTTTGAGGACATTACTTGCATGGTGGACAATGGGGAACCTGTGGATGTGGTGTATCTGGATTTCCAAAAGGCATTTGACAAGGTGCCACACCAAAGGCTGCTACATAAAATAAAGTTCCGTGGTATTACAGGTAATGTATTGGCATGGATAGAGGATTGGTTGACCAGTAGAAAGCAAAGAGTAGGGGTAAATGGGTGTTTTTCTGGTTGGCGGTCAGTGGCTAGTGGTGTGGTTCAGGGATCAGTGATGGGACCGCAATTGTTTACAATTTACATAGATGATTTGGAGTTGGGGACTAAGTGTGGTATGTCAAAATTTGCAGATGACACTAAGGTGAGTGGTAGAGCAAAGTGTGCAGAAGACACTGAAAGTCTGCAGAGGGATATAGATAGTCTAAGTGAGTGGGCAAAGGTCTGGCAGATGGAGTACAATGTTGATAAGTGTGAGGTCATCCATTTTGGTAGAAATAACAGCAAAATGGACTATGTTTTAAATGGTAAAAAATTGCAGCATGCTGCTGTGCAGAGGGACTTGGGTGTCCTTGTGCATGAATCGCTAAAAGTAGGATTGCAGGTGCAGCAGGTAATTAAAAAGGCAAATGGATTTTGTCTACCATTGCTAGAGGGATGGAGTTTAAAAACAGGGAGGCTATGCTGCAGCTGTATAGAGTCCTGGTGAGGCCACACCTGGAGTACTGTGTGCAGTTTTGGTCTCCTTGCTTGAGAAGAGATATACTAGCACTGGAGGGGGTGCAGAGGAGATTCACTCGGTTGATTTCAGAGTTGAGAGGGTTGAATTATGAGGAGCGACTGAGTAGACTGGGATTATACTCATTGGAATTCAGAAGAATGAGGGTAGATCTTATAGAAACATATAAGATTATGAAGGGAATAGATAAGGTGGAGGCAGGGAGGTTGTTTCCGCTAGCAGGTGAAACTAGGACTGGAGGGCATTGCCTCAAAATAAAGGGAAGCAGATGTAGGACTGAGGTGAGGAGGAACTTCTTCACCCAAAGGGTTGTGAATCTATGAAATTCCCTGCCCAGTGAAGCGGTTGAAGCTACCTCGCTGAATATTTTTAAGGCAAGGCTAGATAAATTTTTGAACAGTAAAGGAATTAAGGGTTATGGTGAGTGGGCGGGTAAGTGGAGCTGAGTCTCAAAAAGATCAGCCATGATCTTATTGAATGGCGGGGCAGGCTCGAGGGGCCAGATGGCCTACTCCTGCTCCTAGTTCTTATGTTCTTATGTATCCCATAAGTATAACAAATTAACTGACAATTTAATTGAGGTATTTAAGTTGATTTGCACTAATTCCTTCAGGGATGATGTTAGAAACTACTCTTTTGCAGCAGAGGTAGTGTAAATAATAGATGTTCTAAAGATTAATTTCCAATCTTCACTAGACACAGATGAGGTGTCAGAGGGCAGGAGGAATATGAATGTGGTTCTGTTGCTTAAAAAGGTTCCAAAAGAGATACCAAACGATTATAGGTCAGTTAATCTTCAATAGTGGGCAAATTGTTAGAATCAATCCTGAGAACAGATAAACTGTCACTTAGAAAGGCATGGACGAGTCAGGGATGGTCAGCATGGCTTTGTTCAGGGAAAGTCATGCCTTACAAATTTGATTGAATTCTTTGAAGTGACGAGAAGGATTGATGTGGTTAGCGCAGTGGATGTTGTTGTGGGGTTGGTTTAGCTCGGATGGCTGGTTTGTGAAGCAGTGAGATGCCAACAGTGTGGGTTCAAACCCCACACCAGCTGAGGTTACCACGAAGAACTCTCCTTCTCAAGCTCTCCCCTCGCCTGAGGTGTGGTGACCCTCTGGTTAAACTACCACCAGTTGTCTCTCACTAATAAGAGAGCACTCCTCTGGTCTGTTAAGACTATGGCGACTTGACTTGGATGTTCTCTACGTGGATTTTAGTAAGACATTTGACAGGGTTCCACATCGCAGACTGGTCAAAAATGTAAAAATCCATGGGATACAGGGAAATATGTCAAATTGGATCCGAAGTTGGCTTAGTAACAGGAAACCAATGTTCAATGGCTGCCCTTGTGAACGGAAAGCTGTTTCAAATGGTTTTCCGCAGGATTTGGTGATGGGGCCCCTCCTGTTTGTTTTATATGTTAATGATTTGCACTTGAATGTGGGAGGGCACAATTTGAGAAATTTGCGGACAACATAAAAATTGGCCGTGTAATGGATAGTGTGGAGGAGAGCTGTAAGCTCCAAAATGATATAGGTGGTTTGGTGGAATGGGCAGAAAAGTGGCAGATGGAGCTCAACTCTGATAAGTGTGAGGTAATGCATTTAGGGAGGTTAAGCTGTGAAAGGGAACGCACAATGAATGGGAATATGCTGAGAGGGGTAGATGAAGTGAGCAATCTTGGCGTGCAAGTGCACAGGTCCTTAATGGTAGCAGTAGAGGCAGATAACTTTGTAAGGAAGGCATTTACAATCTCTCCTTTATTGGCAGAGGGAGAAAATACAAAAATAGGAATATAATGATGAAACTGTCTGGGACACTAGTAAAGCCACAACTGGAGTATTGTGTGCATTTTGGTCCCCACTTTACACTAAGAATGTAATTGCTTGGAGAAAGTAATTTTTTTCTGCACTAGAATGTTGCCAGGGCTGCAGAATTGTAGCTATGAGGACAGATTGGAAAGAACAGAGGGGCTGAGGGGTGACATGATTGGGATGTGTAAAATTGTAAGGGGTAGAGATAGAGGAGACAGGAGAAGCCTGTTTCATTGGCAGAGAGTTCAAAAAACCAAGGATCATAGATTCAAACTAATGGTTGTTTAAAAAATGACCTGGTTCATTGATGTCCTTTGGGGAATAAAATTTGTCGTCCTCCATGTGACTCCAGTCCTGGAATAATGTGGTTGAAATAGCTGCAAGCCACTCAATTAATTTGATCCAGTACCAAAATATTGAATACAAATAAAAGAAAATTGACTAGCCATTTCAACCAACACACCAAGAACAACAATAGTGCACACAACCTTTGTCAACCATGCACAGTCCTCCTTACTAACATAAAATAAAAACATAAATTGCTGGAGAAACTCAGCAGGACAGTTGGGGTCATCTTATGGACAGAGCAGAGTTGTTCTCCCAGACTGTATTAAGTCTTGTCAGTGGATCAGATTGTGAGCAGCAAATACAGTAGACTAGATTAAAAGAAGCACAGGTAAAACACTGCTTCACCTGGAAGGTGTTTGGAACCATGGACGGTGACGAGAGAGGAGATTAAAAGGCACATGTTACATCATCTGTGATTGCATGGGAAGATGCCATGGAAGTGCTGGGAGTGATGGAGGACTGGACAAGAGTGTGACAAGAGGGAATGGTCCTCAAAAATATCTCTGCCTCCTTTTCTCTATCAGCATTCCTTAGGGACCATTGGAGGGGAACTTACAGTTGGTGGTATTCCAATATATCTGTTGCTGTTGTTATTCTAGACGGTACAGGTCACATGTTTGGAAGGTGCTGTTAAAGGTGCCTTTGTGAGCTACTGTAGTGCATCTTGTAGATGGCACATACTGCTGCAATTGGGTGTCAGTAGTGGAAGGAGAGGATGTTGAAGGTGGTGGGTGGTGTGCCAATCCAGTGGGCTTTGATCTGGATGATCATAGAATCCCTACAGTATGGAAACAGGCCCTTCATCCCAACAAGTTCACACTGACCCTCAGAGCATCCCACCCAGACCCATCCCCCTATAACCCACCTAATCTACATATCCCTGAACACTATGGCCAATCCACATAGCCTGCACGTCTTTGGACCTTGATGTCAAGCTTCTTAAGATTGTTTAAATTGTACTTATCTGGGCAAGTCGGAAGTATTCCAACACAATTCTAACTTGTGTCCAGACAGACTTTGATTTAGGAGGTGATTTATATACTGCAGAATTCCCAACCTCTGACCTGCTCTTATAGCCATAGTACTTACATATCTCATCCAGTTAAGTTTCTGATTGATGGTAGCTATTAGGTGAGGGAATTCACTGATGAAGATGCCATTAAATGAGCAAGGCAAGTCATCAGATTCTCTCATTGGACTGTGGTGTGAATTATACTTACCCAAAGTACATTGCCCAGGTCTTGCTGCCTCGGGGTGCAGGCTGCTTCAATATCTGAGGAGCTGCAAATTAGGGAGGGACTATAAATGTTGGTTTTGCTGGCATTGTCCACATCTTACGTAGGAAGAAGAAAAATGACTTGGTGCCAGAGTTTGATTCTCCAGTGAAGTGCCTGAAGAGGTTTTACATCGATAGTTATTGACTGCATTAATTTATAAAGCACTGTAGCAGTCTAAGTCACCTTATATTTTTGTAAACTGCTTTTGGCTTTCTCAGGAACAGTGTTGAGGTCTTTTTTGTTAAGAAAAGAACATTATAGTGAAATATCTAAACACAACAAATTTATTTGTTATTAATTTGCTTGTTTTGTACTTCTCCCAGATGTACAAAAGAGGAAGAATCCTGTATGTGGGTTTATCACTCCCTTGGAAGGGTCTGAGGCTGATGAACACCGTAAACCAAAGGTCAGCAGGACCCAGAGATTCTGTTCTTTGAGAGTTTACAGAGTAATGATTAAACGAATGAAACAATCTAAAATGTAGCTTGCATTTCAGTATCTTATTAGGAACTTAGCAGTGTGTATTTCTAGGGGCAAGATTCTGTTTGATGTCTCTGAAATATAACAGTGAAGTTACTGTGATATTTGTTTAACGTTTTAGAACGTTTCACATAGCGTAAACTGTTTAAAGTTGTAATTGAGCTGCCCCAGGCAAGTCTTGGGGAAATCTTTAAAAATGTGGAAAATGTTCAAAATACTTCAGGAATCACCTCCTGTCTTCCCAAAGCCTGTGTACCATCTACAAGGCATAAGTCACAAGTGTGTGAAAATTGCAACTTTAAATGAAGTGTTAAAGCCATTAGGTATTGGAGAACAATTTGGCCTGGAAAAGCTAAAATACGTGTTGAAATTCTGTGCCATAAATGTGCAGCATTGTGCATTCCTAGTTGAAATAATTTGCAAACCAAAGCAAGGAAAACTTCAGTGATAAAAGTGGCTTCTTGCTTTCAGCAAAGAAATTTACAGTACAACACAAGTTCCTCACACATGGGGCTACATTGTTACTGCTGTTACTGAAAGACACAGATATAGGGGAAGGTTTGGCAGCTCAATATTCCAGGATACAGGGTCTTCAGGTGCGACAGGGAAGGAAGTAAAAGAGGAGGAGGTGTCACAATATTGAACAGGGAATCTATTACAGCAAGAGGGAGCAATGATACCTTAGAAGGTTTCTCAAATGAAGTCACATGGGCAGAATTTAAAAAACAAAAGGGAACAGTCACAATCCTGGTAGTGTACTATAGGGCCCTGAACAGTCTGAGAGAAATACAAGAACAGATATGTCGGCAAATTTCAGGGAAATAGAAAAGAAATAGGGTCGAGATAGTAGGGGATTTCAACTTCCCCAAAATTAACTCACATAGTCATAGGGCGAAAGGTTTACAGGGAGAGAAATTCTTAAAATGCATCCAGGACAGCTTTTTCAGCCAGTACGTAGAATGCCCTACAAGAGAGGGAGTAGTCCTGGACTTAATTTTAGTTAATGAAGCTGGACGAGTGGTTGAAGGAACATTTTGCAGTGAACTAGGTAAGATTCAAGATTGTTATAGGAAAGGACAAAGATGGGCCTGAAATCAAAATTCTAAACTAGAGGAGGATGCATTTTAATAAGAAAAGGTATGATTTGACTGAGTGGACCATGAGCAGATACGTTCAGGGACCATGAGCAGATAGTTTCAGGTCAGAACAGTGAAATGCATACAGAAGGAAGTGTGGAGAATAAAGGACCACTATGTTCCAATTTAAAAAGAAAAGGGCGGGACCATCAAATCCCATGAACACTGGATATTGAGGGATATACAGCACTGGGTTAAGAGAACAAGGGAGGCTTATCGCAGATCCTGAGGGCTCAAAATAGCAGAAGCCCTACAGGAGTACAGAATGTGCAAAGGGGAATTTGAAAAGACTAGGAAAGGTAACAGGCAACATGAAAGGATAATGACAGATAAAATAATGGAAAGTCCTAAGTTATTTTTACAATTGCATAACAGTAAAAGGATAACAAGGGACAGAGTAAGGACCAGAGATAGTAGGAACTGCAGATGCTGGAGAATCTGAGATAACAAGGTGTAGAGCTGGATGAACACAGCAGGCCAAGCAGCATCAGAGGAGCAGGAAAGCTGACGTTTCGGGCCTAGACCCTTCTTCAGAAAAGTAAGGACCACACTGATAATTTTAGACAGGATTCTAAATGAATACGTTGGGTCGGTATTCACTAGTGAGAGGGACAATATGAGTATAGAAATCAGAGAGAAGGTCTCTGATACAATTAAAGAAATCAGCAAAGACAGAAATGTGGATCTGAGGGTCTGGCAGGCTTAAAAGTAGATAAATCTCTAGGGCAGGATTGAAATGAATCGCGGTTTGGTGAGTGAGGCAAAGGAGGAACTAGCAGGTCATTGGCAATAGCTTTCAATTCCTCTTTGGCCAGAGAAGAGGTATCAGAGGACTGGAGGACAGCTAGGATGGTACCATTACTTAAGAAGGGAGCAAGGGACAGACATGGAAACTACAGGCCAGTCAGTCTAACCTTAGTGGTGGGGAAACAACTGGAATCCATTTTGAGGGACAGAATTAATCTGCATTTGGAGAGACAGTGATTAATCAAGAACAGTTAAGGGGAGGCCATATCTGACCAACTTGATTGAATTTTTCGAAGAGGTGACTGGGTGTAGATGAAAGCAATGCTTTTATTGCAGGCTACTTGGACTTCAGCAAGACTTTTGATGAGGTCCTCCGTATGGGACACTGATAGTAAAGGTAAGAGTCCATGGGATCCAAGGAAATTTGCTAATTGGATCCAGATTGGTTGAGTGGCAGGAAGCAGGTGGTGATGTTTGAGAGGTGTTTTTGTGACTGGAAGTCTGTGTCCAGTGGGATTCTGCAGGGGTCAGTGTTGGGGTCCGATCTGTTTGTGGAATATATAAATGATTTAGACTTTGAACACAGCACACATTTTTACTGTGGCTCCTGTTGACATCATAACTTCAATATCATAGAATCCCTACACTGTGGAAACAGGCCATTCAGCCCATCAAGTCCACACTAATCCTCTGAAGAGCATCCTACCCAGACCCGCCTCCCTACCCTGTCCCTGTAACCCTGCATTTTCCATGGCCAATCCATCTAACCTGCACATTTTTGGACTATGGGAGGAAATCGGAGCACCAAGAGGAAACCCATGAAGACATGGGAAGATCATGCAAACTCCACATAGACCATTGAACCCGGGTCCTGGCGCTGTGACGTAGCAGCGTTAACCACTGATCCACCGTGCCGTCTTAAACAGTGAGAAAGGCTCTGAATTGCTGAGTACTGGCCACCTGACAATTACTGGTTAACCCTTTTGTATCCTACAGATTTAGAGCAATGGGAACTTAGTTACAGTTAACTTTTTCATAACCTCAGTGATAGAGTAGGAAGTCTAATAAATAAGTCTATTAATTCAAGTCCAAGGTGTTAGCTATAAGTTTGAGTTGTCAGGAGAGGCTGGCTGTGTGGAATATGTAGCCTGCCATGTGAGGAGTCCTTGATGCTGCCAGTGTCCCAGGTGACCACTTGTACAAGCAGCGTTCCCAGCTGCAGAAGCTGGAGCTCTGGGTTTCAGAGCTTGAACAGCAGTTGGAGACTCTGTGGCACATCCGTGAGCCTGAGAATAATGTGGATAGCACGTTCAGAGAAGTGGACACACTGCAGCTCAAGGGACTAGAGGAAAGCAGGGAAAAGGTGACCACTAGACAGTCTAGAAAGAACAGGCAGGTAGTACAGGAGTCCCCAAGGGTCCCACTCACTAACCAGTATTTTGGAAGCTGGTACTTTGGAGGACTGCAGTCAGAGACCAATGTCTGACACCATAAGCAGCTTGACGGCGTAGGGGTGGGGTGGAGAAGAAGAGGAAAAGAAGAGCAATAGTAATAGGGGGTTCTTTAGGCATGGAGCAGACAGGTGTTTCTGTGGCCAAAGATGTAACTCCAGGACGGTGTGTTACCTCCTTGGTACCAGGGTTAGGGACATCATTGAATGGCTGCAGGGTATCCTGAAAAGGAAAAGTGATGAGTTAAAGGTCGCAGTATGTCTTGGTACCAACAACATGGGCAAAGTGAGGAATGAGGTCTTGCATCAAGAATTCAGGGCACTAGGCAATAGATTTAAAAAGTAGGACCTCAATGGTTGTAATCTCTGCATTACTCCCGGTGCTGTGTGCTAGCAAGTTTAGAAATAGGAAAATTGGACAGATGAATGTGTGACTCGAGTTGGTGCAAGAGGGAGAGTTTTAAATTCCTGAATCTCTGGGACCATTTTTGGGGAAGGTGGGACATGTACAAGTGGGATGGTCTGCACTTGAGCAACATTGGGACCAACATCCTTGCAGGTAGGTTTCCTAGTGCTGTTAGGAGGAGTTTAAACTAGTCTGCCTGGGGGAGGGAACACATATCAATGCTGTAGCATAATGTACCTCTGTTTCAAAGGAAGCAAGTCAGAGGGAGTTCAGCTACTTTGAATGTCAAGGCAGTAAGGCATGGCTGGATGGTCTTTAATGCTAGGTGTGTAATAGGTAAGACTGAGTAAATTGGTGTGGATTGACATTTGAAAATCTGACACTGTTGCCATCACAGAAACATGGTTGAGGGAAGGGCTGGACTTGCAACTCAACCTTCTCGGGTAAAGGATCTTTAGGAGAGACAGAGGAGGGTGTAAAAATGTGGCGGTGTAGCAGTATTAATTAAGGGGTCAATTACTGAGATAAGGAGAGATGATATCTCGGAACAGTCCTCAAAACAGGCTTTGTGAGTAGAACTTAGGAATGGTAAGGGGCTGCCAATTTACTGGGAGTGTATTATAGGCCCCCAAAGAGTCAGTGGGAAATAGAGGAGCAAATATGTAGACAGTTCACAGAGGTGTGTAAGAGTAATAATCAGGTAATTTCTTCTTTATACTTTGTTCTAATTACACTATGGAATTTCAACATTCCAACATAAATTGGGATAGTCATAGTATGAAGGGTTTAGAGGGTTGGATTTCTTGAAATGCATCCAGGAGAGTTTTTTGTCTCAATATGTAGAAGGCCCAACAAGGGTTGGGGCAGTGCAGGATCTGGTTCTGGGGAAAGAAGCCAGGTGCTCAATGTGGTAGTAGGGCAACATTTTAGCGATAATGAGCACCACACAGTACGGTTCAAATTTGTTCTGGACAAGGAGAAAAATGGCGTGCAAAAGATGGCTTTGGATTGGGGAAAGGCAGATTTTATTAAAATGAAGAGAATCTGGCCATAGTTGACTGGGAACAGCTCCTTGTGGGTAAGCCTACAGCAGAGTGGTGGGGTGGGCATTCAAAAAGGAGCTGGGGAAAGTACAGCCCCAACATGTACCCTTTAGGGGGGATAAAAGCACGAAGTTCAGAGAACCC